CCCCAGGAAGATGGGCATTGCGGCGTTACATGAGAGCGGATTCAGGTGAGTAAAAAAAAGGACTTTTTTAAAGACGTTTGTGAATGAGGGGGGTGCGGGGTGGGTGAGAGGGATTGAAACTGGAACAATTCTTGTACTTTGCCCTGTTTACCTGTTTGAGCTGGAGAAAAACATGGTTTCAGGTATGGTGCACACCTCTCTCCACCTCATGCAGTGCTCCTTGCTTGGGCATTGCATGGGGAGGCTGAGCTTGAGCTCCCATCTCCACCCACCAGGCAAGATCATTACATGGTGGTGCCATCTTCCTAAAGGATTTTTCACTGATATGAAGCAGGCTGTAGATTTCAGATGTGGTTTAAATGTGAGTAGGCATAATTCAGGGTCTTTAATGTAGGCATAGAAATTCTTAAGTTGCAAGAGTGGACATGTGTCATTCTATAGAGAAGGGAGCCAAAAGTAGACACCACAGTACTGTTTATCTTTGCTGGACCCATAGTGATCAGATGAGGTCTTTAAACTTGTCAGATACTGTATATTGTTATTGGTGTATGCCTATGCAATAGACATTAAACTACATCTGGCCATTTTTACACTCCTGTCTTGGTCACCAAATTAAAGAAAGACTAGCAGGAAGATTGAGACTCCTGATTGCAACTAGAGGAATGAAAATGTGTTCCATCATTCAGGGAATATAATCTGATGCTATCTTTCTAGGACTCTCTTTAGCATCAAGGCAATTGTTTTGTCTCTGTAGACACTGCTCAGTCTCCAATGAAATGCAAAATATGAAATTGTTTACGACACTGTAATATGGCAATTTAAACTCAGTTTTTTGGCCTTGAGGAGCTCTATTGGTGTGATCTCTGTGCCGAATTCCCAGTTGACACCTGCCGTGACCATTATGAGGGGCTCCTGCCATCCCTGAGCTGGGTTCCCACATCTGTACACCTGCTGGGCACACTATGAGGGCTTTTTTCTCTCCCTGATGCTATATATTAATTTTATGGAGAATGTAACAGGAAGTGTTGGGGGCACACAAAGGTGGGCAGGAACACCCAAAACATCCAGGTGGACAGGAAATGAGTCAGGAACTATAGTGAGAAGATTTCACTGCGTTAATATGGTTCCTACGATCCCTGAGCTGGGTTCCCACATCTGTACACCTGCCTGGCCCTCTATGAGGGGTTCTCAATCTCCCTGATGCTATTCATTTATTTTATGTTATGGAGAATGTAACAGGAGGAGTTAGAACACAAAAATATGGGTGAGAACACTAAAAACATCCAGGTGGACAGGAACTATGGTGAGGAGATTTCACTCTTGTAACATCCAAGACATTTAAAAAAACTGAACAGCCTTTGTAGAAAAAGGGGATATTTGTATTCAGCACCTACTACACAGGTTGTCACGTACCTTAGAGGAGCTTGAAATGACAAGGGTGGCCTCTCTTGCAACTCCAGTCCCAAAACCCCTGAAAAGAGGGACAGGTGTATCAGGGTTTGGGGGGGCATGAGTGCCGGATGACTTGCTGTAGACAGAAGATGTGGGTCTCTGAGGTGAACGTCTGGTAGAAAGCAAACACAGGAGATGCACACCACGAAAGCAATGTAGACATAGCCGTAGTCAGATGCAAGTCGGGAAACAGCAGGCAAAAGCGAGGTCAAGGACAAGGGTTTGTAGAATATGAGAACAGCAGAAAAGTAGTCAAACAAGCCAGGGGGGTATCAGCGAAGCAAGTTCAGGATCTTAGGCTTCTTGGGAAGCTATCAATCACTCAACAGGAGGATAGGGATGCCACAGCCTAAATAGCCCATCTGGCACCGCGATTCGGAATATGTGTGCATGCATGCCCGCGCACACGCCGAGGAATGCACAGCAAGGCCTGATTTTATGAACCAGACCAGGCGCATGTTCATGCACAGATGCTCACGCAGACCTCCTGGAATAGGCTTCTTGACACATGTGCACTACTTGGCATGTCCAGTGGAGTAAAGCTCTAGCTATAGAGATGAATAGGGTGGGTGCCACTCATGTTTAATAGGAACTTGAAGGGGCTTCCTTCTTCATTGGCAAGATTGCACAGTGAAGAATTCAGGAGCTGGGGCTGAAGTAGGGAATTTCAAATAAACCATGAATCTTTTTTTTTTTCTTAAAGGAACCTTTTATGAGTATTGAATATCGATTAAGCAAAAATCTAAAATGTATTGGAATACCAATATATCAATTGTCTTAGGGTTTCTGGTGCAATTTGATTGAGAACTTTGAACCAAAATAAAAAAAGGTGTATATACTAAAAGTAATATGCCCTTCTCCTTGCATGACTCCTGATCCCCTTCACTGTCCATCAGCCACTAAAGGGAAATTGGAGCAGCATTTTCTCTAGGAAAGGAAAACATTTTGAGGCCCTTCAACAGTCTTTATTTAGCCTTCCACACATGACTGTTATCACAGCTTTATCTTAAAATATATGAGTAGATCCAGATGAATAATCCTTTTTGTGTTTGTGATATATATTAACTGTTACACGCACGTAATTTTTTTTACTGATTGCCTTTCTGCTTCCGGCAAAGCTCATATGAAAGAATCAAGATACAAGTCAGTATGATTGGAGAGCATTGTTGAGTCAGTCATAATATGAGCACAAAGTGAAGGACAGCAGAGGAGGTGCATTGTGTACACTATATAAAGAACTCGTGAATACATTACCCCCCCCCCCCCCCCCCCACCGCGCGGTCTGATGTTATTATATGTATGCTG